GGAGCCAGGAAGGAAGGGTCTCTGTGCTAACCTCTGCTACTGGCAGCTATCCCTCTAATTTACTCGGCTGTCTCCCAAGCCAGAGGGAGAGCGTGCGCCTCGAGAGTAGAGATCCAACCCTAGGGATCCCTAACCCACAGGAAAACATTTGTGAAATAGGAGACTCATCAAAATGTGCAAGGTGTAGGTCCAGGTGACGGAGACACACAGAGTGGAAAAGCGGAACAAAGGAAGTATGCACTTGAAAAAAGCCAGTAATCGTGGGATTAGACAAAAATAACCAAGTGGTGGTGCTGTCATGGACAGGGTGAGCCGCAGGGCCAGCGGGCCAGGGATCGGCTAATGAAACGAACACGAAGAGCAGAAGGGCACAGAGCTGGCTGTGCCTGCAGCAGGATGATGACTGACGGACACCGTTCCCAGCCTCGCTCCCATCTTTTGGGCTTAGAACATGGCCCACATTTCCCCTAAAGCCTTGCTTAGCCCAAAGACCTAGAGATTTCACTTAGTAAAGTTTCCTAAGCCGAGGCCCACACTGCTCACTTCGTAATTCTCCAACCTGACCGGCAGTATTGTGTCCTGCCCCTTCCCTGAGTGGGGAAGCCTGCCCTGGGCTTTGCAACCCACTCACCGCCCCACCTGACTCCACCTGCGGCAGGCTCTAACCGCCAGGCTGTCCGCCCAGGGCGCTGCCAAGAACAGGTCTTAGGGTTGGAGCACCCTTTCTACCCCTCTCTTTGCCTGGCTAACACCTCCTGTCTAGAGGCCAGTTCCTTCCTGGGACGCCTTCCCCAAGGAACACCGAACACCGAGTGTGGTTCAGGCTCCTGTTCCTGTGCGCTGCGAGTGCCCTGCTTGCTGCTCATCCCCCACGAGATGAAATGAGAGCAGCAGCCCAGGCGCTGCTGAAGCACCCAGGGGTAGATCCGGTGTCCCACGCACAGCGAGCTCAGGAAATAGCACAGGCTTAAGAACCTAAGTAGCAACTCGGCATCTGAATTTTTAAATACTCTTCATTTTCAAATAGTTTCCCATCAATGTCTGGGTTATTTCTGGACTCTCAAGTCTATTATTCCCTTGCTTTATATGTTTATCCTAATGCCAGTTCCACACTGTCTTCATCACTGTAGCTTTGTAGTAAGTTTTGAAACCGAGAGGTGTGAGTCCTCCAGTTTTTTTGTTTCAAAATTGTTTTAGCTACTCTGGTTCCCTTGCATTTCCATATGAATTTTAGGATCAGCTTGCCAATCTTTAAAACAAATCAAAACCCTACCAACCAACCAAAAAACTCAAGGATTCTGACTGGCATTACACTGAATACACAGATCAATCAGGGCGCTGACCATCTGCACCTCTCACCCATGGTCTATGCACATAGTACGCCTTTCCATTATCTAGATCTTCTGTAATTTCTTTCAATAACCTTCTGTGGTTCTCAGTACAAAACCCTGTACCTCTTTTGTTAAATTTGTTTTTAAATATTTTATTCTTTTGGGTTTTACTGCTAATGTGATCATTTTTAATTTCATTGCTGATACACAGAAACACAAGTGATTTTTGTTTATTGTTCTGTATTCTGTCCTGCTGTTCAATTTGTATGTTAGTTTTAAAAAGTTACTTTTTAAAAATGTCCTTAGGATATTCTCTGTACAAGATCCCGTGTGACTGGCAAACAGAGATAGTTCACTTCTCACTTTCTAACCGGGACCCCTGGTGTTTCCTGAGTGACTGCCCAGTACCTGTTACACAGCAAGCACGACGCTGCAGGAAAGCAGCAAGAGCAGGTGCCCTTGCTTGTCCCTGATCTTAGGGGACTGCACTCACTCTTTCCCCGTTAATTTGGGTGTTAGCTGTGGGCTTTTTGCAGATGCGCTTTATTGGGTTGAGAAAGTTCTTTCTATTGCCAAATGCTTTTTACCATGAATGGGTGTTGAATTCTGCAAATGTTTTTTCTCTGAGACAGAGAAGTGGTTTTTGTCCTTTGTTCTATTAATGTGGTGCATACACTGATTTATTTTTAGATGTTAACCTACCCAATTCTGTAATAAATTTTATTTGATCATGATGTGTGTATTTTATATGTTGCTAGATTTGTTTCCCAATATTCTGCTGAGGATTTTTGCATCTGTATTTATGAGGGACACTGGTTTATGGTTTTCTCGTGCTGTCTCTGGTTTCGTGTCAGGATCATACTGGCCTCACGGAATGAACTGGGAATTAGCCCTTCCTCTTCTGCTTTTCTGAAGGAGTTTGTGAAGGACTGGGATGGTATTAATTTAAAAAATAGGTATTAAGGAAATTTTCAAATGGACCAAAATAGTACAAATAGTGTAATTGATGAAGCCCTTGCATTTTCAACTCAGTTTCAATAATTATCAACATTCTACATTCTTATTTCACCTATACTTGCTTCCCAGTGTGATTCTTTTGGGTTAAATTATTCTAAAGCACATCCCAGACATGTCATCTCATCCTTAAAGACTTCATTATATGTATGTAAATATATATCTCTAACAGATAAGGACTCTTTTCCAACATAACCAAAAATTAACTGCTTCACTTAAAATTAGCAGTAATTCCTAATGTTATCTAATACCTGGTCCGTGTTCAAATTTCTCCAGATGTTTCAAAAATGAATGTTAGAATCAATATGAGTCAAAATGCAGATGGAGCCCAACACTGTATCTGGATGACAGGATTGTCACTAACAGTCTCTCCCTCTCTCCCTCTTCTCCCCAAGCCATTCATTTATTTGATGGAAAAAACAAGGTTGATTTAGTGCGTAAAAATGTTTTGTGCCCAGTTTTTGGCAGGAGCCCATGCATCCTCATGTGTCTGGTAACCTGTTCCTCCATCCCTCAGACTTCTTTTAAGCCGGGAGCTCGCTCCAGTTCCAGGCAGCCGTGAACTTACCCGCAGAGCACACTTAATGTGTGGCTGGCCCACTTTCAGTGTGAAGACTGATCCGTGGTTTCAGGTGCTATCAGTCTGGTCCCCCTGTTATAAAGTGCCCCATCAACCTTTTCGCTGAGAGTTCAGCAACCACGGACAATTTGGGCCTGGGTATACGACTTCAGTAGAAGCTTGTGATGTGGTGATTTTCTAATTCTGTCACTTCCTCTAAGGCTAGGGTGTTTGTTTTTGTTTTTATCTTCACAATTCTAGACTCCAGGTCTATGATTCCAAAATTAGGATGGCACAGCCTCCAGGTGCCACTATGGAAGCTCTGGGGGTGTTTTTGCTTGTCACAGTTTCTAGAGAGTCTTCTTGGCATTAACAGGCAGACACTGCCTGCTCTGCAATTCCCAGTAGAATTCCACCTAACAAAGAATGCCCTGCACCCCACACGACTTCCAGAAGTCTTGTTAGACATTAATGGAGATATAAAGCTACATAAATTATCTAAAGTCCACGTCTATTTTATATGTGGACACAGTATTTTTATATGGTTCTAATAGAAATGTTTCCAGGAATATGGCTGATGTAATTAAGAAACACCGTCCATCCACTCTTTTCTTTGCCATTCTCATAAGGGCCGTTCACTATTTCAGAAAAGACGAGTTAGTAGCAGCAACACGGGTTGTATACTCGAGCTGCTGATATGACACATCTGCACATGGCCAGCTTTTGTTGCTGTCAAATTCAAGATAATTCCACATACAACTGCAAATATATGACTACTTTTGCACTGAAATCTTACTCAGGAACTACACAATGAGATACACATTACCTTATTATTAATTAATCTCTTTTTATTTCTCATTTGTATTATAGTTAGGACTTTATACCAACTCCTCTTGAAACTGTATATTCAGTAAGTTAGAGTATCTGTGAATTCCATTTTGAGAGACCAAAGGAGATTTCACAGATCTTTATTTTGAACTGGGCAGTTGAGTCTGAGAGAGCTGAGAATTATTATCTACCTAAGGTCTAAAAATTTCCTCCAATTTGGCTGTTTACTTAAATCTTGCCACCCGTACTCTGGTTACATCACAGACAGAGCACTGTGCTGGGTGTGAGGACCCTGGACTCTGGCCCTGGCTCTGTCTCTTTACTGGGCTCGTGGCTTAAGGCAGGTCGTCCTGTCTGCAAAATCGGAATGTCAGACCAGACAAGCGGTTTCAGCCTTTCAACCATTTTTTATTATTCTCTACTCTGCCATAGGACCCATATTTCTAAAGACTGCCAAAGAGATTGCCAATTATTATTTATTGTAATAATTAAATCAATTTCCTCTTAAAAGCTAACCGAAGGCATATAATTACCAAACAATGAAATAATGGCAGTTAACACTTACTGAGTGCTCACTACAGCCCAAAGGGAGCCCTCCCCGCAGCCCCGCAGCCCCAGCATCACCACCACACTGTGGGGACCAAGTCAGGAGGTGCCACCTCAGCCTCAGCAGAGACTAAGGTCTGCCTGGTCCGTCTCTCCTCCCTTGGGGCAGAAACCTCCAGTCCTAAATGCTACTAAGCTCATCTGCAAAGATCTTGGACACAATTTGGTCACACCCAACACCGTTTTGGGAAAGTTGTGAAGTTGTCAAAAGAGGTCAGGGGACTACAACAAAATGAAACAGGCAAGACACTGGGACGACATCCTCTCTGCGAAAGTACCTCTGCATCTCTGCATTTTCCCAAAAAGCCTGTCCAGGGCCCTGCACACACACCGAGCTCTAGAATAAATAAGTGAATCACCTGGGCAGCCTACCAGTATCACACACAATCCCCATGGGCCCTGACGCTTGGGCTGACTCAGAGGCTCCTTGTGAACTCCAGAAAGGGGACAGGCGGCCTTAAGATGCTGGGTAGTTAGGGTGACTAGCAGCAGCGGAAGAACTCACTGCTCTACTGATGTCTCCACTTTCTATCTCCATACACTATGACTAACGATTCTGTTGAAGGCACATGGGGGGCAGCGAGGGGGTCAAGTAGCAGGATGGACATGGCTGGAGTCCTTTGGCAGAAGCACGGGCTGCCCACTCGGGGCTCTACACTCACCAGGAAGGCTGCCGGCTAGTTTGTGGGTGCTGTGGGCGCTGTGGGTAAATCCGGAGTGGGTCCACCTCTTCGGGAGTGGCCGGGGGAAGCTCTCGGTGGGGACTGCTTGCACTAGCCTTGTTCCAGCGCTCATGGATAGGTGTGATGATTCCAGACACAATACGAGACCGAAGCTCCTCACTGTTCTTGTAGGTCCTGCAGGAAGTAGATGAGGTGTCAACTGCTTGCTGCGGGATGACAACCCTGCATGCAGTATTTCGGCGGCTGCTGCGGCCTCTACAGCTCTTGGCGTTACGCTTAGACCGTTTGCAAAGGTGGGAACGGGCCGTCCAGCGGGCCTGCGTGAGGGGGGCAACAGCCCGGCGTTGTCTCCGAGGTTTGGGCCTGAGCTTCCTAGGCATCTGAGTTGCCCCTCCTCATTTACCACCCCATTAGAAAGAGGTGAGAGTGTAGGGGCACAGGGCCTGGACTGGCTCCTCCTCTGGACCCACCCTACCCCACCCCACCCTCAACTGTGTGTTCATGATGTGTCATAGGAAGGGTCATGGAAAGGCAAAGCCTCCGTGGGGAGGATAAGCTCCTCTCCAGGTCCAGGAGGGCAGAGCTCTGGGGGCTCAAGGTATAGCTGTGCCACCAACTCGGGGGCCTTCGGAAAGCTGCTCTGGGCCTCTGTTCTCTGCTTGCGAGAGACAAGCCATGAGAGCTTCAGATGAGGCGCTAAGGCTGACTGAGGCAATGGGGAGTGTGGGAAGCCCTTTACCTAGTGCTAAAAATCAGGTGTTTTAAAATGAGCCATGTCCTGGGTCAAAAAGCAAACCTCACAGAAAAAGCAATGTAACAACTGAAACCATATACGTTCTCTGACCACACGGAACATGAACACAGAAAGGGAATCTCTAAACATGTGGAAAGTAAGCAATGTAAGTCTGGATAATCCATGAATCAAAGAGGAAGTCTTGAAAAAAATATGAAACACTGAATAAAAATAAAGATACAACAAATGAAAACATGTGGGATATAGCAAAGCAGTGTTGAGAGGAAACTTCACAGCTTAAATTAAATGCTTACACTGGAAAAGAGGAAAAAATAATATTCAAAATTCTGACCTAAGAGCCTAGAAAAAGAAGAGCAAATTAAACCCAAAGCAGGCAGAAATAAAGAAATTATAAAAAACAGAAATAAATAAAGCAGGAAAATAATAGAAAAATTTAATTAAAAAGCTGGTTCTTCCGAAAAGTGAGTAAAATTGATAAACTCGTAGCAAGACTGTCAAAAACAGAGAGAGAAGACACCAACCGCCCAGACTGAGAACGACAGGGGGTGGCACGACGGCTCTGCCGCCGAGGAAGGGCAAGGGCGGTGCGAGGGCACCGGGCACAGCTTCCTCGATGACAGGGTGAGTCCTCAACAGCCACACACTGTGGCAGCGCAGCCTAGCCCTACTACAGTAACTAGACTCATAATAAGCACCCCCAAAAAGAAATCTCCAGGTCCAGATTATTTCCATGGAGAATTCTACCAAACATTAAAAAAAATTAACATAAAAAATATCAATTTATAGTCACTTCCAGAAAATACAAGAGGAGGAAACATTTCCAACTCATTTTCTGAGGCCAGTATTACCCTGATCTCAAAACCAGATAATGAGTACAAAAAAAGAAAACTACTGACCAGTATTACCTATGAATTTGGGTGCAAAAATGCTCAACAAAATACTAACAAATTGAATTAAAAATATGTAAAAAGAATTATACACCACAGGATTTACTGTTAGTATGCAAGGCTAGTTCAATATTCGTGTTTACCACATCAATAAGCCAAGAAAACTCAAATAATTATATCAATTGATGCAAAAAAATAATTTGATAAAATCTACCATAATAAATCCATTCATGATTTTAAAAAAAAGCAAACCTCTCAATAAACTAGGAATAGAGGAGACCTTCCTCAATTTGACAGAGAACCTACAAAAAACCCTACAGCAAACAATATACCTCTCAAGGACAGACTGAATACACTGAGAGGGAATAAGGCAAGAACTTATCTCCCGCCTCTCCTATTTAGCATAATGCTGGAAGTTCTGGCCACTTCAATGAGGAAAGAAAGAGCACACAGATTAGAAAACAAGGAATAAAACTGTCCCATTTGCAGATGAGGTGATAGTCTACCTTGAAATTCACAAGGAATCTACAAAGAACGCCATTACCACGTTCACAGAGTGTCCCATATGCAAGGCAGGGCACACAGTCAGTACACAACATAAACAGCTTTTCTACACACTAACAGTGAACACCTGAAAATCAAATCTAACAATAGAACACCATGTACAATCGCCTCTAACCGCCCAAAAGAAATAACAAAAACATGTTCAGATTCTGTATGTTTAAAATTACAAAACGATGAAAGAAACCAAATGAAGCCCTAAATAAATGGAGACATACATGTTCACAGTAAAAGTGTCAAGTTTCTCCACTACAGGTTTAATGCAAGTCCTACCAAAATCTCAGCAGGTTTTTAAAATAGACACAAACTTATTCTAAAGTTTATATAGAAAGACACAGTCCCTAGGATAACTAAAACTATCTTGACAGGAAGTGAACAGGAGGAATCCTTCTATTCAATATGAAGGACTCCTACGTATCTGCAATAATCGATACTGTGTGGCAGCGGCAGAGGGATAGACACAAAGACTGATGGAAAAGCAGAGAACACAGAAATAGACCCACACAAGTACAGATAACTGATTTTTGACGACGCTGCAAAAGCAATTCAGTAAAAGAACAAAAGGTGTTGATGCAACTAGACACCCACAAGCAAGAAAATGAACCTCTACCTAAACCTCACATCTCATACAAAAATTAACTTAAAATAAATCACAGACTTTATTGTTTTTAATTTTAATTTTTTTATCCTCACCCTAGGACACTTCTTCATAGCTTTTACAGAAATGGGAGGGGAAGGAGGGAGACAGGGAGAGAAACATCCATCAGTTGCCTGCTTCCTACATGTCCCCCAATGGGGGACTGAACCTGCCCAGACCAGGAATCGAACCCAAGACCTTTTGGTTCACAAGACAATGTTCCAACCAAGCCACACCAGCCAGGGCCAATCACTTTAATGCAAAAGAAAACTATAAAATATTTAGAAAAAACATAGGAGAAACTATTTGGGAATCTAGGGCTAGGCAAAGAGTTCTTACACTTGAGACTAAAAAAGCAAACATTGATTAAATAGATATCAAAATTCAAAACTTTTGTTTTTCAAAAGATGATGGAAAGAGAAAGAAAAAATGACAGTCCAAAAGAAAGTATTTCTAAACCACCATCTATCAGAGGCCTTGCAGCTGAAATATATGTAAGGAACTCTCAAAATTACAACAGTAAAAAAAAAATCCAATCAGAAAATGGGAAAAGACACAAAAAGACACTTTGTCGAAGAAGATATACAGATGGTACCTCTACACATGACAAGATTCTCAACATCATTAGCCACTAGGGAAACGCAAACTAAAACCACAAGGAACTGTCACTACCCAACTATCAGAATAACTAAAATGAAGAACGGCGACACCACCAAATGTCAGAGGAGGTGCAGAGATACCGCACCACTCAGACACAGGCGTGGACATGCAAACTGGCGTGGGCACTCTGGAAAAGCGCTCAAAAACTACCTTAAAAACTAAACACGCAATGACCATTGTACTCTTGGGCATTTACTGCAGAGAAGTGAAAATTATGACCAGACAAAAGCCTGCACATAAATATTCATAGCACCTTTATTCACAATAGCAAAAAACTAGAAGTAACTCGGATACCGTCTAACTAATGAATGGATAAACAACCGGGGCACATTCACACCGTGAAATACTACCGCTCAGCGACACAAAGGAACAGGTGCATGCAAGGACTGAGATGGATCACAACCGCACTATGCTGAGTAAGAAAAGCCAATCCCCAAAGCTTACATCCTGTGTAATTCCCTTCATACATTTCTGAAATGACAGAATTTCAGAAATGAAGAATGAATAATGGTTGCCAGGAAGTTAGGAGGAGAGAGAGCGTGTCTCCTGGTGGCGATGGAGTGGTCTGTGTCATTGTACCAATGTCAAATCCTGGTTGTACGAGCTAGTATAGTTTCACACAATGTTATCATTGAAGTAAAATGTATAAAGGATACAAAGAGTCTCTGTATTATTTCTCACAACTGCATGAGTATACAATTGAAATTAGAAGTTTAATTAAAAATACATTTATTATGTAACCATAACATAATCCAAGGTTAGACTGGATCAGTGGTTTCAGATCTTCTTCAGCACAGAAGGGGGCCCAGGAGGGCAAGGGAGAGAGCCAAGTGAAAGGGGCACTGGGACCTCCAATTCCTATTCCCAACTTTTCCACCAGAGCAACTCTACTCTAACCAGTTTAGTACCAATCCTGAGACCACTGTGCTTGAAGGAAGAGTCCCATGGTTACAAAGTGGTAATACCTGCGGTGGCTTCAAAGTGCTAGGGGCCTGTGGCCCACTCATTCCTACGAAGAACGGGTTTCTACTTAGAACACAGAACTTAGGGACTCTGCCACTCTCCCAACCAAAGCGGCTGTAGGGGATAAATAAATCCACTCCTCTTTCCTTTCCAATCAGATAAACTGCTGTGTGATGCACTTGGAAGACCTCCGATCTCCCTATGTAAGATGTTTACCTAAAGAACTCAAGTCTGATTCAAAAACTACCGAGAGGAGCTCTCACACAATTTCTACGTCTCAGCAGAACTGCAGTTTTGGTAGTAGCAAAAGACAGCTTGTCATCCTGTCTAATACAGAAAGGGCATGGCAGAAAGACACAGGTTCACACGCCTTGGCAAATTGCAGTTCGCTTGCCAAGGGACACAAATAACTACCCGAAACAGACAAGACATGCTGTGATGACATAACAGGGAGGGCCACTCGAGGGACGGGGACTGGAAGCAGGCAGCTCAGCCCTGCTGAGGCAGAAGAGGGAGGTGTGATCAGGAGGCAGGTCCTACCCTAGCTCTCACAGCCTCAGTTGCCATGGAGATGATTCCTAGTGATCAGATTTTTCTCCCTCAGCGTGTTCACTGAGAGCTTGGGCCCAGCGCTAAGCACTCTGCGTGGACAGCTCATTGCACTACCAGAACAACACCCTGAAATAGTACTATCGAAATAGTACTACCGTGTCCTTCATGTCACAGTGGTCAACAAAACATCTACACACAAACCCCAGCAACAAATGCATTTAAAAATAAATAGAAACATTAACACTGCTTCTCTCTCAGTATTGCTGAGGCAACTACATGCTCTAACGTGCATGAACAGCATAACACAGGCCTGGGCTCTTCCACAAGCTCTGTCCATTTCTCTCCCAGTGGAATCCCAGGATGGAGAAGTCAAGAGAGAGGCCACATTCCACATGCCCTTCCCTTATCCTCTTAAGGGGTGCGGTGGGGTCACGCTGTGGGGAGCACCCAGAAGAGCAGCTCTGCCAGGGCCAGTCCTGGCCTCACTTCGCTTGAGCCTGAGTCCTTTGCCTACCACATGCAAACAGATCCGGGGCCTGCCTCAAGGAGATCACACGCTAGTAGGGCAGATGGACTCTAAGAAGTTAATCATAAAATACCCACTTATTACCATACTATAATGTGTACTTTTTGCCCTAATTTTTGAGGGAAAAATAAGGATACACATTATACATGGGTAGTACCTGAAATACCTTCCATCTGTTGTTGTGTTTTTGTAATTATTTGTCACATTAAATTTCTTATGCCATAATATGTTAAAAAATAAATGCTAAAATTCCTTTATAATACAGAGAAACACAAGTATCTAAATATAAATAAATAATTTAATTAAAATGAAAACGAAAGGTTTTTTTCCTGAAAGTTTGGGCCAAAAACGTGGGTGTACATTATATACAGGAGCACATTCTACACAGCAAAATTCTTAAAAGTTTGTTTCAAAACACCAAACATGGGGGGTGAAGAAAGCTTCTCTGAGGGGCTGACGTCTGTTTAAATGGGAGCTGAAGGAAGAGCAGGAAGGAGGCAGCAGGGAGGTCGCTGGGAAGGGCGCGGGCAGAGGGAAGAACTCTGAAGGGGGCGGGCACCGTGGCTGAGACGCGGGAAAGCAGCACAAGAGGAGGCTGAAGGGCTGGGGCGCTAGGCTTTAGGCCTCATCAAAGATTTCATTCTTTATCTTCAGAGAAGGAAAAAGAAAATTCACTTAAGGGTTTTAGTTTTTTTTTTTTAATTAGAAATGTTTAAAACGGTCTCAGTGTGAGATTTTGAGTGTACGGATCACGGTGTTAAGCACACTCATAGCACGGTGCGATGGGCAGCTCCCTCTGCCTTGAGCGCTGTCCTCATCTTGCAAAACTGAACTCGGTGCCGGTAACCGCCACCTCCTCCTCCTCCCCTCTCCCAGCCCCTGGCAACTGATTCCTTTCTTTCCTGTCTGCACGACTCTGACTTCTCCAGGTCCCTTGTGTGAGTGGAATCGTATAGCACTTGTTTGCTTGTGACTGGCTTATTTCACTGAGGGTGATTCATGTTGAACCATGTCCTCGAGACTCACATTGAAACCTTCCTTCCTTTCTAAGCACTGAGCGGTGTCCCACTGAATGCATGCGCCACATCTGTTCACCCACCCGTCGGTCCTAGCTATGCACGGCCACCCGCGCTGCTCCCACCTCTTGGCTGTCATGCATAACACTTCCATGACCGTAGACATGCAGGCACCTCTTCAACACCCCACTGTCCACTCCTGGCGCACGCTCCAAAGTGGAACTGCTGGTCACGTGGCCATTTTCTGAGGAACCACTGTCTGCAATGGCCGTGTCACTTCACATTTCCACCGACAGTGAACGAGGGCTCCAAATTCTCCACACTCTCACTGACACTTATTTTCTGCAAAAAACCCTTTTTTCTAATGGTAGCCACCCTAACCTGTGGAGGATTTCACCAAAGGATTTCAAGCGAGGGTTGTTAACTGTGATCAGATCTGTGTTTTACACACGCTGGTCCACTGCCGTGTGGGTAACCGACCAGAGGGTGGTGAGCGGGAGTGAAGCTGGGACCTCCTCACATGCGGTTGCCTGGAAGAGGGGAGGGGGCTTGCGGGGGGTCGAGGTAGGTGCTTTGGGAGTCTGAGGGGAGTGGGTGCAAAGTGGTTACTGCTGATCACAGACAACTGGGTTGTAACAGGGTTTCTAGGCAGTTCTGATGACCTCGAACTTAGAGTGAGGTCAGGCTTCCTCCAAAACCCTGAGGAGGTCACAAGGATGGGGAAAAAGTCCCTAAAACAGAGTAAAGGGGAAATAACAGGGACAAACTATGTATCAAACAGAGAGTTTTATTACACTGGAAAAACAAGCATCAACCTAAGTACCTTTTGAATGCAATACTATTGACTACATATATCCTCAGCGGGACACAGTCCTAGGGCAAAAAGACCTGGGAAGAAACAGCAATTGAAATTTTACTTAGTAGGTTGTTCTTGGTAGGAACTGATGAAGCAGTTTAGAATCTACTTCTGTGTATTTTAGGATCAGACAAATAAGTAAATATATTGATGCCACTGGACATCAGCGTTCTTACCGCAGAAGGGAGATACAAAGATGGACTAAGAGATTAAGAATCCTGTAGGGTTAGATAAAAAATAAAAGTATCAGTTTGAAATTTAAGAAAAACAAACTTTAAGGAAAGAGTCTCCTAGCTCTATTCCCTGACAAGGCCTAGAAGCAGTGACATCCTTAGTCATGATGAATGCATCCAGGAACAGATTTTAATTCTGAAATAATATTCCCTATGAACCGTGAGGTTCCTTAGAAAAATGGCTAGTTTCAGAGAAGGGCCAAGGAAAGTGCAAGGTGAGACTAAAATACCTTTCTGTGCCAGAAAGTGTGAAAACGCTCAGGGGATGAGGACTTGCCAAAGGGACAAAGTGGCAGCTCGAAGGGTTCCCACTGGTCAACTCTGGAACACCTGAGCATTCCAAGAATGACAGAAATGGATTATAACGCCAAATGAAAAAGGAATCCACGAGTCATGCTGATATTTTAAAAATTAAAAATAAATGGGATAAGAATAGAAAATCTTTCTTAGAAGTGCTAATAAATGCAGAAAGAAAAATAAATAGCATATTACTGTTTTATAATCATCACAATAATAATTGATCCAGGCGAGAATCATCAATAGTTGTTAAAAGCACTGGGCGAAAGACCATTAGGCAGTGATTACTCAGTCTGCCTGTACAGTCCCACACATCATTTATCAAACACGAAGGAAAACAGATGTGTTTACTATGGAGAAGCCTGGCAGATACGGTCATGGCCAAGGGATCAGCCTGAAGTGGACCCACTGTGAGATGGGCATCACAGCCTGATGGGAAACACTGAGAATATGGCCTTGACTATGTAGTGTTCTTGTCAAAAATGTTCAACCTACGTCAAAAGATGAGAAAACAACCTGATAAACCCGACCTTGAGGAAAAAACCTGAACATTCCACACAACAACTGATCTCAAGCCTTCAAAAATACCAATGCCACTAAAAAAAAAAAAAGGCATGAAACAGTTCCAGGTTAAAGGTAATGAAAGAGACATGACAATAAATGCAATGTGTAATTTTGGTTAGATAAGGAAAAAAAAACCCTCAAACCTAAACCCAAAAGACTAGCTGGCTAGGAAGGGCACTGCTGGGACGGCTGTAGCGGTCCAACCGTGAGTGGCGTGTCCAATGCTGTTCCTGCATCTATGGCTTATTTACGTGTGATAACTACATTAAGATTATACAGGTGATAACGTGTGATATATACGTGTGATAACTACATTAAGAAATGCCCTTGTGAGGAGATAAATGTTAAAATATTTAGGGGCTAGGGCTCATAAAGTCTGGAAATAATTCTCAGCTGAAGAACAAAACAGCATATAAAAATTAAGCAAATATGGCAAAATGTTTAAAAAACTGGTAAATCTAGGTGATGGGTATAGGGGCGCTCACTGTAGTATTTTTGCAAACCATTTTTTCTGTAGGGTTGCAAAGTCCAAAATAAAAATTCAAGAGGATGAGAAGACAAGCAAGACTAGGAAAAAATATTTACAAGACACATCCTTGAGAAAGGACAGTTATCAAAAACACACAAAAAATTCCTAAAACCCAGCAGTAAGCAAACGAGAAGTGGGCTGAAGACCAGCACCATCGCCTCAGACACAGAGGGGAAATAAGCGCATGGAAAGAGGGTCAACATCTCGCGTCATCAGGGGACTGAAAGTTACAACACCAGTGAGGCATCACCGCACACCGACTGGAACGTCAGTCCCGACAAATGCTGACAGGGATGCGGAGCAGCGGAAACTTGCACGCACGGCTGGGGGAATGTCAAACCGTGCAGCCACTCGGGAAGGCAGCCTGACAATTTCTGACAAACCTAAACACACTCCACCCCCACCTTCAGATGGGATCTGGGTGATAATGTCAGCAGTACCTGTTCCTCCACCTTCAGGAGCGCACCACTCCAGTGAGGGACGCGGACAGTGAAGGGGGGAGGGGGGGAGGGGTGTGTGTGTGTGTGTGTGTGTGTGCGCGTGCGTGCGTGCGTGTGTGTGTGTGTGTGTGTGTACTGGGGCAGGAGGAGAGGGGCAGGAGGTCCAGGGGCATTCTGCACCTGCCACTCAATTTTGCTGTGAACCTAAAACTGCTCTAAAAAGCAGTCTATCCAAAAAAAGTTGCAGGTGGAGTGGAGACCTGCTTAGGTACACTGCTCTTCCAGGCACCCACTTTGATGGACTCCACTGGCCCGGCCCCATCACTGCTCTGTAGACATGATAGCACGTGCGGACCCCTGACTGCATGATTTGGTCCCACCTGGCACTGCCCAAGCAAAGTCCTCCCTTCAAGTGAATTAAAACCAGGAAGAGAACTGAGAAGTGACTGTGCCTGGGAGTGAAAGACCCCTCTATTGACCTTCCTCAATTCTCTAACTACCTCCACCCTGTTCCTTGCATCCGGCCACTGGGTCTCTTCTTCCTCCCAGGAAAACTATCACTCAGAAGTACCTGTGGAAGTCGGTCAGGTGTTCTGAATCGATATAATCATCCAAGTTGAGCGTCAAGTCTGACACTTGCTCTGAGCCATATTCCTAGAAAAATAAAAATAAAAAAGTGAGAGACCGGGAATACTTCTGGGCCAAAGAAACACATGTATGCACAAGGAAACAAATACAAGGACTGTGTGTAATACAGGAAATACCCTTCCAACGCTTGGGGCCTTCTCTGATTTAGGAATATGGTTGTTTTGCAGAGACAGAGCCTGGAAAACCTACTTCCTAGGCTCAGGTACAGGCATGGATGCACAACTTCAACTCTAACCCTAACCCTAACCCTCTATGGTGGGTGACACAGGGAAGCGGGCTGAGTGAGAGACGGACATCTCGCTCACGAGGGCTCAGAGCACCAGGGGCTCACGGGAAGCAGCACCAGCGCTGGCAGCAGGGGACGGTCCCTAGTGCCCAGTGTGGTGGCACCAGCAGCAGTTTCCATGGCATGGTTTGGGGCACCATCCTGGAGTCCAGATGTGAACCTGTTTTCCAGCCCTTCCAACAATTCAGTGAGCTACCCCAATTCTTAGTAAACCCGATCTGGTTAAGCCAACCTGAGGGGATTTTGCTGTTTGTAACTAAGTCCTCGTCTGACACGAGGTCTAAGTGTGTGTCCAAAGGAAAAGGGATAACCAAGTCACGATACCATGGAACACCGCACGGTAAATCAGTAAGGTACACCTATGTGCGTCCTCATGTTAAGACTCCCAACACACTGAGGGAGAAGAGCGGGGCGCAGTACAACACAGGCCGTATTGACACTTTCGTGTGAACACACACGGGGGACCGGATCACAGCCTAACGAAAAGAACACCACTGCCCTCGTGGTGCTGACCTCCCAGTGACAGAGCACAGACATCAACCCAAAGCGTGAGCAAGTACATAACTGTACACTGTGGTTCCAGGCAGGAGAACAAAATGATGAAGGAGAGAGGAACAATTCAGATTTCTCTGACAAGTGAGAGGGGGCAGTCAGATCTGAGCTGTTGGAGGAAGTGACAAATAAGGGAGCAGTCCTGGCTAAAGGACGGATGGAGGGTGTGTGTGTGCGCACACGTGTGGCACCCTCCTTTCCAGGACAGGAAACAGAAGTGTGAAGGCTCCAAGCTAAGGCAGCAGAGAGCTAAAGAACTAAAGAACTAAAAGTAGCTTGGGCTGGTGTGGCTCACGCAGTTAGAGCGTCATCCGATAAACCTGAAGGTTGCAGGTTCGGTCCCCAGTCAGAGTGTGTACCAGAGGCAACATAGGAGAGGCAACAGGATCAATGTTTCTCTCCCTCCCCGCCTCTCCAAAATCATTAAGCATGTCCTTGGGTGAGGTAAAAAAAAAAAAAAAAAAGAAAAGAAAAGTAGCCTCCTGTGGCTACAGCAAGTTTCTTCCTCCCACGTTGTCACCGAATGGATTTATCTTCATTTACTTAACCACTCCCCTGTGACGGAAAGTCCCCCCTTTACAAGACCGGGTGGTGAAAATATTTGAGCACAAGCCTTTCTATATTTAGGGAAAGCTCCAGAAGTAGGATCCCTGGGCAAAGACCTCACTCACAAATATTTAGGGCTCTGCATCCACACCGTAAATGGGTTTCAAAACGAGGACCCCAACACCACTCCCATCGGCGGACCCTCCACACCTCGGAGACTCACCAGCACGTTGATGATCATGCTCTTCTCCACGGTGATGGCCTTCACGAGGAGCCTCCGGGACCCGTCCTTGGACTCATACCGGAGCGTGTACAGGTCTTTGTTGCTGTTCCACTCGGCGGGCAGCAGCTCCGATTTCTTGTCACTGGGACCCGGCTGAGAAGACACCAGGGTTGAGAGGAAGGTCACAACCTCAGAACACAGCTATAAAGGACCTTACAGACAATCTAATGCCACCCCCCACTTCACAGATGAGGTCATGGGGGTCAGGAGAAATAAAATGTCAAAGGCCCTACAGGCAGTTAGAGGTCTGGGACCCGGGTCTCTGGACTCCCGCTCCTCTCTCAGCTCTGACCGCCTCAGTCACACAGCCCTGGGACCTGTCAAGAATCGGTGGCCTTGCTTTAGCATTAATCTCCTCACCACCCCCCACCAAGAACAAGGCCGATCATCTCCAGGGTTACTGTGAAATCCTAAGGTGAAAACACAGATTCTGATGCGCCACCCCCCTCCACACTGCTGTAGTGGTTTAACAAAAATTACAAACAACTTGCACACACATATGAAATGTAGCATATGTACAACATAAAAAGAAGGATGAAATGGACGCCTATGTATCTGCCACCAGCTAAAGAAACAGAATACCGCCAACACTGCTGACTCCTTGAGCAGAGCCCCAAAGAAGCTCCCCGTCATGGGTAATTAATACTCTATTTCTAAAAATTTCTTTACTTTTTCTTACCTAAAAATATATCATTTCAAGTGTTTTTGAATTTTATGTAAACTGCATTACTTTTACCACGTGTGTTTTCATTGGAAAGTTTTTTTGAGATTCACCCCCGTCACTGCATTTAACTGTAGTCGATGCACTCAATAGCCTCCCACCGGTGTGCGGCGCGCAGCGTATGGCGTCCCACTGTACAGAGATGCCGCCGTTCCCCCTGCACTTGCTGGGAGACATCAGAGTGTGCAAAGCCTATCTGTTTAGCCATGATAAAGGCTGCTGTGGGCATTCTTGTACGTGTCTCCTAGTACACATGAGGATACATTTCTATACACTGTGTCGAGGGGGGGGGGCTTTTCATTTATAAGGTAAAGTGAAACTTTTCCAAAGAGGCACTGAATTACACTCCCACAGGCAACGTGTAAGAGCTCCTGTTGTTCCACGGAGGCGGCAACACTGCTGTTGCACACTTCTTCCACCTCTGCCCACCTGGCCGGCACAAAAATGCATCACTGAGTCGTGATGGCTCCCTTTCTTTTCTTTGTTTAGCAATGCCATGACTTTCCTTTTATACACTGAAGTCTGAAACACAGTCCTCAAACTATTTTTACAGAAAGAGCTAACACAGTGACTTCCAGGTGGGGAGATTTCTTAAAGACGACTGACAAAGAAAAACGGCACTGTCTTTGAGACGGTTCATGCTTTCAGGCGTGTCTTCAGCATTAGACACCACACAGTTAACACTGGGGTGAAAGACCTGCCATGGCTACAAGTGAAGAGAATTAGTAATTAGCACATAAACGGGATGCTTGGAAAACAGTTGTGAACTCACTTGAAAAACTGGCAAAAGAAATGAACAAGCAAAAGAGCCACTAATGGTGTACAAAGGACCGTTCAACCCGACCAGCACACAGAGAAGCACAGGCTGAAATAAGGAGATCCCGGGTCACACCCATCGGACGGGTCATTACCCAGACTTCTGTTCTGCCAGCTTTTTGTGGAGGTGTGGGAAGAACGAGAGAGCCTCCAGACACTGCTCGCTGGTGGCAGCTTAAACTCTCCCGATCATGCTGGAGGGCAGTCTGGCAGTACTTGGTGCCATGAGGGGAGCTGACACACCACAACCCAAACCTCCCTGCTGGGAGAAACCCTGTGCGCAGAGGCACAGGGGACAAGACCAAGAATCTTCATCACCACGGTGGAGGTGAAATGAAAAATATGCTCACAGAGGAACAAGATATAGCAGTGAGAAGGAACAAATTAGATGTAATTGTGGCATTAAGATAAAAGTTTAAAAAATATATATGACAAAAGTTAAGAAAAAATGAAATTTATAGCTGGGTGAAATGCAAAAATTTAAAAAGTGCACAAAAATTTATTTATTTTTCATGGATGCATATTTATACAGCTAAAGACGGAGAAGATGGGCTGGGAAGATCTGCATTGACGAGAATACAGTGGGAGAGAGGGGGACCAGAGACGACAAACAAGGACTAAAGACAAAGGTCCGGCAGTGCAGGCCTTCAACACCCCACAGGCAGCTGCAGGCCAAGTGGAGAACCGAGGGGCTCTCCTCTTTGGTCACCCCCTGGCACTCAGGCATCCCACACATCCCACGGGGGAAGGGGAATAAAATCCAAGATGTTCCAACTGGGCGGTCTGAAGCAGAGAAATGAAAGTGACAAAAACAAAAGTGAAACTGATCAAACCACTCCGATACCTGAGAAGGAGAAACTCCTTTCATCCCAGCTGAGTAAATTTCCTGTAACATGTTTAATGTCATGGATTTAAACTTTACTATGGAAGCCAAGAATCTGATAGTATGCCTCTTTGTGCTGTTAAGGGCCTTTAAATTTATATCCTCCATCTACAGCAACCCATCAGCATATGTAAAAACCAGTCTGCTCATTATCCCATAGCCCCTGGCTTCCGGAGCAAGGCAGAACGGTGGGGCCAGGTGAGGCTGCTGCTCCTCACTGGAGGGGACCCCATGCTCCCCAGCTCAAGGGCTGCCCTGATGTGGGGGAAACAGGTGGGGGGGCTGGGGGACAGAGAGTGACTGGCCCTGGTGATATCAGGCCAAACGTGGCACTAAACTGCCCTCTAAGCCCTGACATCAAATATCAGGCCTTCCAGAAAGCTGCAATTGGAAGATAGCCAAAGTGCAGTAGTGGCGTTAAAAGGAGGAGGCTGGCGGGGGCTGAGAATTGCCCAAAGTCACCGTAAGTCAGGCGCAGAGCTAGACTGGCATTCAGAGCTTCTGGCTGCCCGGCTATGGCTGGAGAAGATTCTTCCCCAGCCAGGTCCACCAGCCTGGCCCCCTTAGGCAAATTCCTGGGGCTGGAAGCATTCTTTAGTGGTCTCGAGTTCATCCCAGTGCCTCTGGGCTAAAATGCACCCAAAGAAATGTCAACAGATCATTCCAGACATTTTCTCTCTTTCCTCCTAATCCTAAGACTCCCACAACAGAAAACAAAATTCTCTAACTTAAGTCTGTGGCCATCACTAGCCCCCTGCCACCTAAACCACCTGACACAGCCATAAAGCTCTTACGTGGTGTGGTGCGCACTTCAAGAAAGAAATCCAAACTCAAAGCCAATGAATGCACTGCTTTCCTAATCAGGTTTTACGTACACACTTTCCCGGTACCAAAGGAGACAACACCAAAGAGAAAAGGAGGCAAGGTAGCTTTTTACTTAACTGCCATTACATTATATAATCAAGAACACACACACTTTTGGGACCTTCCCCTGTCTTTTATCGCCCCAGAAGGGTGGGGAGCAGGAGGTGGCTGGAGAGGCAACACACACATCCTCTGAGCCTGGCAGACACCACTGGTCTCTGTGGAGCCTCCTGGTCCCAGGCCAGAAAATTAAACCGTCTCCTGAATAAATTAATAGGAAAGATGCTTCTCCGAAGGGCTTCCACTCTGAATGAAAGCAGACTCAGCAGAAGTGAGAGGAGGACAAGTGCAACCTGAGCTCTAATGACACTTACAATAAAAGGGCAAAGAGCAACAAAAATACTCTCTAGTGTGCGATACAAACACCCATCCCCTCAAAGGGCATGCGCGATTCAGCCCGGGGGCAGCCATCCAAACAGTGGGCAAAGGCTTTCAAAACCCTCATTCCCTGTCTCCCGTCATGAGTGGAGACAGCACCATTCTCTGCATGAACTCAGCACACGGCACCACGAACAGAGTGGAACTACATGGACCTTTGGGAATTAGTTAAGGATCTTCTATTTATTTTTTTAAACCAGTGTCCAAATGAGATCGTATTCTATCTGCACATTTCACCTGGACATTTTTGGGTCTAGAGTATATGGCAGGGGGATGATGCTGGCTGGCATGAGGCAGTAACCTGTACGAACTAATGTCCCTAAGCTGTCAGTGACTCCCAGTGCTGACAGAACATGAGAGAAGATGAGTGGTGGGAGCACGTCTGCAGAGTTGATGTGTATCTTTGGAATGGGGAGAAGAGAACAGAAACTGCTATGGGGAGAGAGGCTCTGACAGTGTGTCTGAGTAGCAGTAGCTCCTGGAAGTCAATAAGGACAGCGACATACATGAGGAGGGCGAGAGAACAGGGCAATCATGTCAGATCTGAAGGATAGGGCAAGGGGTCAGGGGAGCTAGAGCCAATGGGGGAACTCCAAGGTCAGGACCAAGTCTTAACTCCCCTCTTCCACCCCACTGTCATCCTGCACCACCCTTCACATCAGATTCCTGAGGGAACGTCCCAGGAAAGACAGAAATGAAATGACTGGGGCAACTGAACAAGCTGTTACAGATGAGAATGCAGGAGTGGGGCAGGTGAGGAGACGTCGGGTTCTGCTGGGGAGACTAGCCACAGAAAGGGGAGCCTGACACTTGCGAGTGGGGACTCTGTCTGTACCTTGACCCTTGACCCAGGGTCTGAAATGATGAAAGGCAAAGTAAGTGGGATGAACAGATAGGCCAGAAAGATGCATGTGGGAGGAAGAAATGGTTCCTGCTTTGTGTGTGTGTGTGTGGGGGGGGGGCTGGCCTTTCTTTTCCAGCCTATCTCCAAGAGTCCTAGAGTCCACTTGAGAGATGAAGTATGTGTGAGCCTAGAGGTGGTGACAGAGGATGCTAAGTGTGCATCGGGGGTCCCAGTGAGAAACGTGAGGTCTGGAGGGGAAAGACCCAGACACTCGTGACCGTTCTTATACTTCCGATTCCTGTTTGTGGGAGTAAAATGTGCGAGGGGTGTGGTGGTCTCAGTCTCTAGTTCTAAGAGACAGAGGAATGGGGCAGCCAGGGATGTGGGAAGGACCTGACTCTAAGTGCTCAGGATGCATAAACCATTTCTGAGGAAGGACCTCTAAAGCTCCGTGAAGATGAGGAAACATTTAAGACTCTGGATGCACATCTGGGAAACTGAAACTTGAGAACTGAAGCAGTCAGAAATGAGAGTAAGGTTGAAAATCTCACTACTAGCTGCAAGGGGCGAAGTGCCCTGTTCCCCAGAGCTGGTCTAGGTCCTGAGAGGGAGAGTACAGGGAGGGCAGGCTTGGAGCTCTGAGTGTGTGTCTGTGTGAAGCGTGGCAGGGAAGCTGTTTCTTCTGGCAGAGCAGAAGGCAAAGAAAGGGGCAGTAAGGGGCCAGGCCCAGTTCTCACAGGAGGCGGATGTGCAGGATGAGAGTCACAGGGGAGAAGCCGGGAAGCTGAGGGAAGGCCATAGCAAATAATCAGTGAGGCAGGCAGGGTTCAGAAGTTCTGCGGCTCCCGGGGGGTTACAAGGCTCCCAGAGGCAGAACCAGAGGATGGTAGAGCAGGAGGGCTGCTCCTGTAGGGGCAGCTGTGGAGAGGAAAGCTTACGTGGCCCTTACACCCAGGGTGTACATGTGTATGTGTGGGAGGTGCTTGCTTTCCAGAGCCTGAGTTGGGGATGACAGCGGAGAGTGGTTGCAAAGGATGAGGGGTGCTGGGGAGTGAAGAAAGGGCCCCTGACTGGGGATGAGGAGGTCAAAGCTCACCCCTATATACTCGTGCTTGGGTCCACTTATCAGATGGAGGCTCAGGACAGTGTGTGGGCAGTACTGGGGGGGAAGGAGCTTACTGGGCACTTCAGGTTAGGTGAGGAATGCACAGGGGGTGCTACACCCGCCTCAGTGCCAGGTCCGCACAACCCTGACCTCGGATACTGACAGGCTGTGCTGAAAGCAAGTTTCTGACCGTGGGTTTTCAAGTATGTGCCAGCTGTTGTGAGGGGCTTTGGGCTCAGGTGGGATTGCAGAGCATCTCCCCAATCCGCAGACCGTGGTGTCATGAACCCCAGGTCCCAGAGATGGGAGAAGAGAAGGTTAGGTGCTCTTGACCAGGGTTTCGGCCCTATGGGTCTAGGCAAAAGACACCTTACACCCTCCACCCTAGCTCCGAGTCGACTTCGTGGCGTACCTGGTCGCCGACACCCAAGCCGCAGTAGCCGTGCGTCACCACCTCCCAGTGCAGGAAGCAGATGAGCGCGTCCTGCGCACAGGTGATCGTGGGCGCCACAGACGCGAACAGTACCTCCAAGCCCGCCATGTGCGCCCCCGGCTTCTGCGGGCAGAGGAAGGAAATGAGAAAGTGCGATGAACCGACTCGGCCCTCGGAGTACTGATGACCCCACACCGATAATCCTCTCTTCCTAGCCGCCTCTCCACCCACGGCCAAAATGGAGACGCCCGGGGGTAAGGGGGTGCGGCCACCGGAAGTAGGTCTAAAGAGCGGCGCAGCTGCGCGAACGCGCCCGGGCTGGAAACCAGAGCGCGCACTTCAAGGTTCCTGCAAGCAGAGCGCGGGCAGGGAGGGGCGGGGCAGGGAGGGGCGGGGCCGGGACGGAGAGAAGGGGTGGGGCTTCTCCTAGGAGCACCGCTCTTCGAAGCCTGAATCCCGACCTTGCTCCGCCGCTAGCAGAACCACTAAAGGCAGGGAGGGTGTTGCGCCCTCGAGGAGAGGCCACCTTGTTCTAAACCATAGACTTCCCAACCTCAGAATGGGGTGGGTGTATGCTAGTGGGGGAGGATGTAATGAAATATGGCTAAGTATATATTCATAATAATTGACTCTTATTCAGTTCTTGCTACGTGCACATTATTCGAAATGCTTTTCTACTTGTATTCATTTATTTAATCCTCATGACACCAACGTTACTGATAGTTCCACTTTATAGGTGGGTAAACAGAGGCACAGAGTGTTAAATCTGGCTAAGATGACACAGCCAGTGTCATGTCTGGCTCCTAGGATGGCATTTATTAAGTATTTATTGTATTCTAGATCCTGTGCCAAAATCTTGATGTCACCCTAAAAACAGTTCTGTGCGGTACGTTTCATTGTCACCTTCATTTTGCAGACGGCAAAACCAGCTCATAGAACTGAGGCCATTTCTCCCAAGAAGACACAGTTGTCTACTGCTGAGCTCGAGTTCCTGATCCACTACCAAATTTCAATAGTTTTCTTGTCTGTCTCCTTCACGACTTTTACCACCTTGTTATTTCTTCAACAGGTTTCTTGAAATCCAGTTCCCATCCCAGTCAGCACTCTGCTGCAATCCATCCTCATCTCTCATTTAAATGCCTGCACCAGCCTCTGAACTGCTCTACTCCATCCCTGCCTCCCTAAAGTCCGTTGCACATTCTGCAACTATAGATTGTTTTAGAACACACACCTGATCACATCCCTCCTCTGTGAAAACCCTCCCAGGGTTCCCATCACACTCCAAGGAAAAGTAAAGTCCTTCCCGTGGTCTGCAGGAACCTGCATGTGGTCTGTAAGCCCCCACCCTTACCTCCCACTAACATCATCTCCTCTAACTCTTCCCTCATCATCTGCATTCTTGCCTGCAAAAACCTTGACGCCCATCTTCTCTCACACCCACATCTGATCCAACAGCAAAGCTAGTCACCATGCCCTCAAAGTACATTCTGAGTTTGACTGCCTCCACCCTGGTCTGATCCTGTAGCATCTCATACTTGGACTATTGCAGTAGCTTTCTACCTAGTCTCTCTCCTTCACATGTTCTGTTCTCCAGGCCTTTACAGGCACTGCTGTCGCTGCCTGGGGTGGTCTTTCCCCAAATATCTGTATGGTTCATTCCTTTCTTTTAAGTGACTCCTTCCCTCACTTCCTACCAGCCTCAGCAGAGGGCTTTCCTGGCACCCATCTGAAACAACCTCCTCCACTCTTTAACCCTTAACCCTGCTATCTTTTCTGCAAAGCATCAATCATAACCTGACACTGCATTAGGTATTTGTTTGCTTGTTTATTTAATGGCTCTCTTCCCACTAGACTATGAAAGGGAGCAGGGAATCTGTTTGTCTTGTGTATGGTTATGCCTGAGTACCTTCCCAGCTCAATATATATATTTACTGAATGCATGCATGCATGCATGAATGAATTATTGGCTTGGACTCAGCCCAGTCCAGCTAGTCCCATTCGCCCCTTTACAGTCTACTACTCACTTTGTTAGCTAGACCTGTATCTCTCCAAATTTTGAGTTTTTGAGGTTCCCTTAGGATGCCCAGATTCTTGAACCCCACCTGCAAAGTTTCTAGATGAGCAGTTCTGTATGCAGGTATGTAGCACACACTCTGGGTGATGCTACAGCTGAGGCTGTGGAACTTCTGAGGTATGCTGCCTGTGGCATAAAGCTCTTTGCTCATTCTACCAAGAAGCTCTGCACTTTCAGGCAACCCTGATTTTGCTCGCTCTGTCTCTTCTGCTTGCAGTGTCCTTTGCCAGTTATGTAAAATTCCACTGATTCATTCATTCAAGCACTCACTAAACCTCCATAGGCTGGGTTGCCATAGACGGTTATGCAGGCTGTGCACTGCACAAAGGTGCCCACCCAGTGGCAACCCCATCCCTAAGTGCCTACACTGTGATCCCGGCCCAGATGAGCAACCCTTAGTTCCTGCCACTGTGGAGCTCACTGTGGGACATGAGTTGTCCCAGTTGAGAGCAAAGGAACTGGGATGTTTTTTCACTACTCCCTGTCTGCCACATGCTGAGGGCTACTTCTGGGGGCAGAGAAGCCCTAAGGCAGAGAGTTTAGAGAAATCAGCTGTTGATGCTTAACAGTGAGTACTGAGGAGTGAGTGGGGCACTGTGGCATCTGCTCTGCCCTCCCCCCACTGAGGGTGAGCCCTGTCTTTGAAAGCCCCTGGCCCAGCAGCCATCATGAAGTGGGCACTAGCACGTGTCTACTGAAAGGATAAGGTAGCTCTGTGTATTGCATTGGGCTGTGAGTTCCCTGAGGGCCAGGACTATGTTCTGTCCACCCTGACCCCAGGGTCTGCAGGGTTCTCCTTGGGTGGGAACAAATGCGAGGTTCCTGTGGGGCTGGAGGCTGTCTGTGTCGGCACCCAATCCATCCAGCACTTCTATGGACTTACCTCCATAAGTAAGAGTCTCAGTTGCCCCTGTGAGGCCTATGTGTGGTGGAGAAGGGAGACATGTAGATAGTGCCTACGTGGCTAGGCACCCGCTGCCTGGGCAGCGCAGAGCCCATGGGCCCAGGATGATGGAAAGAACATGGCAGATGGTTAGCCACCGTTTATAGTTGTCAAGTGAGAGCAATGTGAACGTTCCAAGCTCCCTGGAAACTGTCTCTATGGAAACTGTATAGAGGTGAGCTAAGGGGCAGGGCCCAGATGGGCACTGAGATAGGATCATTCACCACTGAAATCCTTCTGTTCCTTTTGCCTAGCATCAGTCCACCACCTCACCTCCTCCAGCAAGCTCTCCATGACTAATACTGTTCAATACTAGCTGGAACCCAAGACTTCTCATTCCCCTTGTCAGTGGGGTGCCCAGTATATTTGTCACCTGGAGAAGAGAGCTCTATTTTTTAAGATATATTATAACTTGGGTGGGGACAGTTCACCGTGTGTGTGTGTGTGAGTATAAAATAACTTTAATATCACTCTATTGGGTTTTTAAAAAGATTTTGTATTGATGTAAAATACAGATAATTTAAAATTTAACTGTCTTAACCATTTAAAAGTGTACAGTTCAGGAGCAGTAAGTACATTCACATTGTTGTGCAGCCACCGCCACCATCCATCTCAGAACTCTCTTCATCTTGCAAAGCCGAATCGCGTGCCCATGAAACAGTAACTCCCCCTCCTCCCTTCTCCCAGGCCCTGGCAGCCATCGTTCTACTTTCTGTCTCTAAGGAGTTGACTACTCCAGGCACCTTATGTAAGCAGAATCCCACTGGACATGTCTTTGTGGCTGGCTTATTTCATGTGCAGTAATGTCTTCAAGGCTCATCTGTGTTGTAGCATGTGTCAGAATAGCTTTAGTCATAGTTCATTGTCTATATAACTATTCACATCAACCTATACACAATGGAATATAAATATCACATATATGGTATACATATCACATTTTGCTTATCTACACTTCTATTGATGGACAGTGGGGGATGGGCTGTTTTGAGGTTTCAACAGACAAATTGGACAGTGGGTATTATCTCATTTAATTCCCACAATTCTTTAAGGTAGAAACTATTATAAAGTTTCATAGAACCATTTTGCTCTTTCAAGTAGGTAGTGGTATAACACATAACATAAAAGCAAATGAAAAAAAAAACCCTTTTTGCGTACCATTTTCGCCAAGTTTCTTCAAAGTTAAAAATATTTAATATCTACATTAGACCCCACGTTTAAAACAGGCTTTGAGTGTGCACCATGATCGGGGATTAAGGTAGGACAGAAACTGCGGATAATAGTTCGTCAGCAATGATTTAGGAAATGGATGTGCAACCAGCTTGCACAAAGCCCTGCTCTTTCACCTTGGCGGTAAGTTTCATGAAAGATTTGAAATGATAAATAAATTAAGAGCCCCATTTTTAAAGTAAAAAAAGTAAGGCGCAGCAAGGCTGCGCAATGGCTCCTGAGTGGTGCCGTCAGCGCCGACCCAGACGGGGTGCCGGTACAGCGCCAAGTGGCGGTGCCTGGGGTGGCATCCCGAGGGTTTGCGGACGCCCAGGGTTTGTGTTCCGAGATCTACACAGAAAAAGGTGAGGGAGCTGTGACCGAGTTTTTCGGGCGTGGGCTGGAGAGAGGAAATGCTGGGATCCAGGGGTCCAGGCTGGGGAGAAAGAAACAATACAAGTGAGGGAGGCCGCTCCAACCACAGGGACATATGGAGGGTCCGTGCAGACAAGGGAAGCCACAAGAGGGCGCTCGGGCCCACCCAAATGCCCACCAAGGGCAGCCCACGCAGGGTGAAGTGCGTTATCCCTTTTATCCTGACTACCAGGAGGTTCAGGGAGCTCTGGACTCGGGGTCCCGCAGCAGGCTCTGTCTTCAGTCCGGTCACGGTCTTCACGCATGGAAATACCTGCGTTTAGCTCTGGGCATTGTTGACCCTCAGGAGAGAGAGTCCTCAGGGAACCCGAGTCGCAGGGCGCACAGATAGATGGTCAGCTCTGCTCCATTCTCCTTCCCGCATCCCTGACGTCCCTTAGCAGACATCTTGCATCCATCTGTTCAGAGACTTGTTTCCTCTCCTTTCCCCAGCTGCCAACACCAGTCCTGTCCGGCTCCGGCCCAAACTTGCTCTGCCTCAGTCAGGCAGGTGGGAAGTGCAACCAGTCTTACCTTAGAGGCCACAAGCTTTGCCTTGATACTTCCCTAACAGGAACGTGAGCTTCGTGAGCACAGACATCCGTGTCTGTTTGACCCACTGCCG